CCCCCCCCCCGTCACAGTGCAGCGTGGTGCAGGCAGGGCCCAGCCCTCGAGCCTGGCTGACCACGTTGCCATGCAGACTCCGTCACACACTAGCTACGTGGCCTTGGCAAGTTAATAACGTCTGAGCATCTGTTTCCTTCTCTGCAAAACTGGGATAAAACAACTACCCCCAATTTGTGGGTTGTGGTGAGGACTCAAAGCCAAGTGTATTTATGCAGCAATTAAAAAGTAAATAGCTCTTATTAGTAGGACTGTTATTGTAGAATAAATCTGCTAGCTCCCTACAGGACCAAAGGTTCCCTCTCCGAGACACCAGAAGTTATAATCAAGTGATGATGATGATGATGACAGTGGTAGGAGTGATGGTGCTGGTGCTGGTGATGGTAGTGATCGTGATGGTAGTGATGATGGAGATGGTGAGAATCTTGATGATGGTGGTGCCAGGAAACAAAACTCTTCCCTGAAAATTTGAGCCACAGGCTGGAGCTCCCAGAGGTTGGCATCTAAATTTACACAGTGTGGTCCAAAGGGAAACAAAAGGAAACACACCCCACCAGCAGAGATTTTAATGTAACGAAACCTCAGGTGGCTAGTGTCCTGGGGTGGAGAGAAGCCAATCCACATCCTCACTGGAAAAACTCAATTGAAATAAGACACCCCAATCCGAGAGATGTGAAAATGCGAAAAATTAGGAGCCTTAAAACATATAAAATATGATGAAATAAATAAAATGCCACCCCCGGGCTGCTCTGCATCTGAATCTACATCCCAGGGTCACAGAACCAAACGCTCTCCACGCCTGCCGACTGGCACCCAGGCCCTGCCCTGCTCCACCCAGGCAAACAACATGCTGGCAAAGCTGCTCCCGGGCTAACGGTCTGTCCCAGGTGGGACGGCCCCCTCCCTGGGCCAGTGCGGGAACTGAGCTGGCTCACGGTCCAGCTGTAACCTGAAAAGCAATTACATTTCACGTGTCTGAGCGCTGCAGGCAAACATATCTCGTGGCACTGATCTGGCAAGTGTGTGGGCAGCTGCGAATTTAATAAATCTTAATTACTCTGTTTATACAAACAAGCAGGCTGGAGCCCTTGACGCAGTCAGAGCCTGGCGCGTGGAGAGAAAAAAGCAAAAAGCAACTGCTCATAAATAACTAGCTTTGGGGCAGGTTTCCCCCTTCCCTTTGGGATAAAAATAATATATGAAATGTTTCTAAGTTGGCAAGATCACAACCTCTGAAGACGCTGTCTACGTTCTACCTGTCAGGCCTGTGTGTGTGTGTGTGTGTGTGTGTGTGTGTGTGCATGTGTGTGTACGTGCATGTGCACAACCCCCCCTGCACATGCATGCGCACACCCGGACCAGCAGAATGAACGCCAGAGCCAGGCTAAAGGGAGGATCCCCCAACAGAAGTGTCACTGATCCCTGTGTTTTCAGAAAGAGAAGCAGGGGCAGTGTCTGCGGAAGTCGCCAGGGCCTACCTTTACATGGCAATTAAGAACCTACTGTGTGCCGGTTGTTGCAAGAAACCTGCCCACCTCCTTTTATTCACTGTTAAACTGGGGCTAAGTGACTCACCAACAATCATACGCACTAATGGTTGGTCCTGATTCCAATACAGAGCACAAAGCAGCAGTTCTCAAAAAGGCCAGCAGCCTGTGTGCCACCTGGCAACGAGCTAGAAGTGCCGACTCTTGGGCCACCCCAGACCTACGGAATCCAAAGCTCTGGGGGAGGGACAGAAACTGTGCACAAATGAGCTGTCACATAAATGAGCCCAAGGTGGCTTCTGTACAGCGGCCTCCAGGTGCTGACTTCTTCATAGTGGGCTGAGACCTGTTAGCTCAAAAGCCAGCTAGCACTAGACTCAAATCTCCACACACCCACTTTTTTAAACATAACCCAAAGCAGCAGATTTTTTGGCCATTTAGAGCCTGTCTGCTTTGCATACCCCGTGAAACTGTGCCTGACAGCTGCCAGCCATCTGATAAGAGAAACCTGCAGCTATAAAGGCCCCAAGTCGCTGCTGCCTTTCGAGGCTCCCTGCTCCAGGGCCTTGCCACTGTGCTGAGCAGCCCAGCTGGCTGCGTGCGCCCTCTCGCCATCCCCCGCCCCGCCCGGCTAGGATGCGGTCTGCCAGGCAGGGCTTTGCCCTGTGTTCACTGATGGATCTCAAGTGCCAAAGCAGTGCTTGGGACAAAGTCAGCACTCAGCAAATATTTGTGAAATGAACAAATGAATGAATAAATAAATGAAGAGACAGCAGATAAATACAGGGCTGTGAACATTTCCAAGTTAACCCAATTACAGATTGCCAGGAACCTGAGCCTGCGCTGTAGGGCTGGTGTCAGCCAGCCAAGAGCCCCCTACTCAGAAATATTTAGTAAGCACTTACTATGTGCTAGATACCAGGGGACCCAGACACAGCTCCCCCTGGACTCCAGCCTGGGAGCTGTATACATGAGGACTCCCAACCAGTGAGGGGCTCAGTGTGAGAGCCAGAGGCAGCCTAGACATCTGGCCCCGTGTCCCCCATGTCCCATCAGGAGCCACCAGGCTGGACTGTGTGGGCCACCTGGTCCTTCCCAAGCTCCTCCCTGTTTCACAAGGAGTCTCTTTGTTATTCTAAATTTGGGATGGGGGGACAAGGGCCTTGGGCTCTCTAAAGAACTTCTACAGAAAGCAGTTCACATGATCTTCAAAACTAGTTCATGAAGTAAATGAAGTCAGCATTAATAGTCCCATTTCACAGATGGGGAAAATGAACGCCAGAGGCAAAGCAACTTGTTCCAGGCCACAGAGCTAACTGGCAAGGGGCCCAGAGCACAGCCTTCGTTTCTCAACTGCCTGCCTAGTCCAGGGGACATCCTCTTTTCCAAAACTGCGAGACTTGCAACACCAGCAGGAGACCAAGGAGACATCTGGTGAGCAAAGCATCTGGAAACAGACTGCATGACAGAGACCTCGAGGAACCCAGAGCGCTCTGGAGCAGAGCAGGCTACAGGTTCATTTCTCATGGGCAACGCTTGGCAGGAAAACAAATGTGCTCCCTTGGAAAAGGGGGACACTGGGGACACAAATTTACACTGGGCTTTTCCAGAAGCCGGGAGAAAGCTGGGCCCCAGGGGTGCTTTCTCCAAGGCGTATGTGAAAGGCAAACACATGGGCTTTGGGGACAAGGCCAGAGAGCACTCAGGAGCCTTCGCTGAACAAGTCACTCCAACCTGGCTTCCCCCTGCTTGGAATGGAGGTGACAAGCTCTGGGGTGTGGCCAGGACTGTTCAATGACACACCCGAACCACGATTCAGCACAGCTCCCAGCACATAGTGGCTGGTCGGTAGGTAGCATCTGCAGGGGCAGGGAACCTTTTTTCTGCCAAGGGCCGTTTGGATACTTATAACATCATTCGCAGGCCATACAAAATTATCAACTTAAAAATTAGCTATGAAAAACGCTCCTAGATTTACTGAATTCCGAGTTCCACCTGCGGTTACTTTGCCAGGGCCAGGCCAAATGATTTCTCAGGCCATATACTGCCCGAGGGCTGGATGCTCCCCACCCCTGCCCTGGAGTAATGATATTTATTACTCATTATAATCACCGCCATTATTGTTATTGCCTTGACCTGTGAGCCCCACGGGCGTGGCCCTGAGCACGTCCCAGGGGGCATAAGTGGCAACACCTGCCTGAGAACCTAAAAGGCGCCCGCCCCTTCCTCGTCTGTCCCCCACTGAGGTGGCCGCACAGCCCAGCTCAGAATGGTCCAGGCTGACACCTGTTGTCACAGCATAATTATTAAGAGCATCCTTGTTGTCTCTTCACCTGGTCCTGGTTTCCGATGAAAAACGCTAGGGTCCCCTGCTACCACGTGCCTGGCACAGCTCAGTCCACTCTGCACACGCCTGGGGCTTCCTGGGAGCGAGGGCCTGGGGCCCAGCCCAGAGCTGACCCAGCAGGAACGTTCCTCAGACCTCAAGGAACCTTCCAGAAATCCCAGGAGTCCCACCCCAGCGTCCCCGGCCCGGCGAGCCTCCAGACGCCCTGCCCTCGGCCCCGCGGAGCAGATGGCAGGCTCCATACCTTCTGGAATCCAGTCGGCTGCCCTGGAGAGCTCTGCGTCTGTTATTTTAGGGAAGGGGAGGAAAAGGGAAAAAAAAGTTAAGTGAGTGAAACTTAAATCCCAGCAGAGCCCGTAATGGAATATTCATTTTGTCAGGGGAGCGTTTCTTTAAAACTCTGGTCATCTGGACAGGCTGAGCCAGCAGGTGATTCGATTTAATGAGCTTTTTAACGCACTTCAGGCCCAGGTGGGACCCCGTCTGGGAAGGCGGGGCCCAGGCCCCGGCAAGCAGGCCACCGGCTGGGGCTGCGCTGACACCTAGTGGCCGGTTCGGTCATTGTGGGGCCGGAGCTCATTGTCTGGGGTCTGCAGGCCGCCAGGACCCTCTCAACCACCCCCCAGGCCTAACCTCCGAGCCTGTTTCCGCATCGCTTCTCAGGGAATAATAGCAGGACCTCCTTTATAGGGTTGCTACGAGGACATGGCACTTAATAAAGGCTCTTATTAGTTTAGCTGTTATTGTTCCCTGTAAGGAGACATGGCCCGCAGGGGAGGATGCTTGCTCAGTCCCAGGGCAGGGCAGTGCAGGAGCAGGGCAGGCCCCAGGGCGCCGGCTACCCCGCCTCCAAGAGCAGGGTGCGTTGTTGGTGTGGCTCTGCGCTCACTAGCTCTGGGACCCGGGGCCAGTTTAACTTCTCAGAGTCTCCGACCCCCTCTGGGGACTGGAGATACAATGACTCGGGCAGAGGGCCCCTGTGAGGACTGAACGGAATGACAAGCACAGAGCTGCAGCTTAGGAGGCAGTGAAGCGCTGCTCAGACAGCAGCTATGACGGTCACAGTCACTGCTGCTGTTGCTGGAGCCCCGGCCTCAGAGGGCGGCAGGATGGATGAATGGCACCTGGGACCTGGGCGTGTTCCTCTCCCCCCTCTGAGTGGTCCCCTCAGCCTGGTCCTTGGGGACACAGGGTAGAGAGGATGTGGGCCCATTCAGGTTTCCCAGGCGAGCTTGGGCTCAGCCCTAGTCCCATCCCCCGGGCCTGGGACCGCGAGTCCTTAGCACCTACCAGCAGCTGGCTGGAGTCCTTGAGCTTGGACTTGTACAGCATCCACCGGTAGCGCAGGTCCTCCAGCTCCTCCGGGGTCCCCCTTGCTGGCCCGAGACGAAGGAGGTTCTCAAAGAGATGCTGGCCTTCTGGTACCCGAGCCTCCAGTTCCTGTGGGGGAAGGACAATGTCAAGCGCACCTCCCAAATGACCCAGGCAGCCCCACCCGGCAGGTAAGGGGCAGCCAGTCAAATTCCACTTGAGAGGAGCGCACAGAAGCTGCTACGTGAGAATCCCATCCGTGCAAATTTAAGACAAGGCCGGGCGACTGCTCTCAGCAATGTCGCCGAATGGCTGCCTGCGGGACAGAGCGGCACCGCTGCCCTCCGCGGACGCGTCCAACTCTGACGTGCTAGAACCGAGTCCTCCGGAGGGCTTGGCATCAGAGGTGCCACCCTCAGAGCTTCCTATGCTGAACGTCTTCCGGTTGGCGTGTTTACGCCTGGCGGAGTCATGTTGGGGCTGGGATTTTTCTACCGAAATACAGCAATGTGTCCCCCAAGGTGGCACCTTTTACCCTCAGGATTCCTGAGAAGTGGTGTGATGTGGGGCTTTGAGCAGGGCTCTGAATCCAAGATCCTGCGCTTACAGTCTGGCTTTGGATCCTGGCTCTGCCCCATCCTACCAGCTGTGTGATGACAGTAAGTTGCTTAGCTTCTCAGAGCCCCCTAGAATGTGAGCTCTACAAAGACAAGGAGGGCTCACCTGGGGAGCCGCGGGTTGACTCTGATCTGGCTGGAATTGGGGGGTGGTGGCAGGAAGGGAGAGGAGGGACTGAGCAGGCCCAAGGAGGTGGGCAGGAAGGACTTCCCGGTCATGGTCAGCCAGGTAATTGGACCAAACCTCTTACAGAAGCCAAAATATTAAAGACATCTAAAAGGCATTACAGATGCAGAACTAGGTAGTAAAAAGAAAAATAGAAATATAAGGTTTGACAACACCAACAAAAATAAAAGGCAGTAAAGAGTCAGCAAGAGAGCGAGGCACATCAGGATAAAACCAGAGCAAGGATGAAACCCAGGGAAGTGAGCCCAGCGTGCAGGCCAACAGGACACTGGCCAGTCTGGAGGACATCGTGGTGAAACAGCATGCTTTTGGCAGCCCTTCAGGGCTACGCAGGCAAAGGTAAAAGTCTGGGCCCTGCAGAGGTGCAGACTCTGAAAACCATTCCCCTGCAGCTGAGCCTCCTCAGGCTCTATAATGAAGGTCGGCAGTGGTACCTACCTAGATTAGACGGGGGTAGTGAGAGGGGACAGAAACAAAAATATCCAGGAGGTGGAATCAAGGAGGGCTTGGTGGCTAATTCCACATGGGAGCAAAAGAGCAAGATCTGTGGTAGACACATTGCCCAGCGGAGCCCCGCCCACACTGCCCACCTTGAGAGTCACGAGTGAAATGAAGCTGCTGTTTGAAGCCACCAACTGCTGGGTGGCCTGTTACACAGCACCAGCTAAGCGATACAACAGTGGTGACTGGTGGTGCTATCTTCCAAGCTGGGGAACCCAGAAGCAGGCTGAATGAATGAATGAATGAATGAATGAATGAATGGTTCTTCTAAAATGTTTGAACCAGGCAAGTTTAAAAACCGTTATTTATACACAAGCAAGAACAGCTCACAAGTGAGGTGTGTGCTCCCTGGTGGCAAACGCATCGATGGTGCAAACCCCACGGCAAGGGGCCTGCCCCGGGAACGAACCTGCAGCTTCGTTTCTCTGGTCCTCGTGTCCTTGGCCGTGGCAGCTCTCATTGCGATGATTCTCACCAGCTTAGCGTTTTCCACCTGCAGCCACTGCTCGAAGCGCCTCCGGAGCTGGGGGAAGCCTTCCCCGCTGCCTTCTGCGTCCTGGAGCAGCTCTGCCTGCGGGAATGCACAGCGGGGCCAAAGCATGAGAGGGGAACACAGCCTCCGGGCCACGTGTCCTGGGGATCCCATGAGGCAGAGGCTGGGGGCGAGGGTGCCCAAAAAGCGATGAGGGAGGCCTGGCGGGACAAAGAACGTCTCTACTGGATGTGTGCCCCAGTGTTTAGGGGTCAGGGACACTCCTCACCGTCACCTGCCTGGCCTCCCTGGGGCGGCCCCATCCCCCCCGAACCAGGATAGCTGTAATCGTGGCCGTCCTCTAGCCACGCTGTCCCCTCCAGCCCTGCAGCCCGAGTGGTCTGTCCAGCTTGCCGTCCATCCAGCTGAGCCCTCACGCATGCCCCTCAGTGGCTTCTCACGCGCCTCAATGTGGCCCGAGAGCCTCAGGTTCCGGCTCTGCCCGACTCTGCAGCTCGTCCCCCCCCCCC